GTTTACCGTCATCTCCTGTATAAGGTACAGAGGGTCCAGCACAACTGCCTGAGTTCTGAAAGAGCAAACACATTCTTGGTAAAATTATAATAGATGCAATGCTAAATATAAATCATTGTTTATTTTATTGGTTAAAAAATGCAGTACTGACCAGTCAGCATCACTTTTTACACCAACACACCTACAACAAAAATAACACTCATTCAGTTTGAAACATGCAGCACGTAGTCTACTTTTAAACTTTAAACTTTGTAAATAACAAAAAAATGAAAACATTTAAAATCCCAGGTGTATTTTATTTCATTTGTCCATATTAATTCAAATTCAGTTTGGATTGAATGTAAGATTTAAGATTTTAATTTAGATTGCTGTGAAAATGTACCTGTACCTTGTACTTATAACTAAAATGACAACATAAACATAAAGCAAATCTTATATCATATATCAGTGAACATTATATCTACAAAACACTCAAAATCAAACAGAAAAACCCTGAACATTTTACCTCTTAAACTTGAAAGTTTACAGTCATCTCCTGTATAAGGTACAGAGGGTCCAGCACAACTGCCTGAGTTCTGAAAGAGCAAACACATTCTTGGTAAAATGACAATAGATGCAATGCTAAATATAAATCATTATTGTTATGGTTAAAAATGCAGTACTAACCAGTCAGCATCAATTTTTACACCAACACACCTACAACAAAAATAACACTCATTCAGTTTGAGACAGTATACATTTAGACTTCACAAACGTTGTGAATAATAAAAAAATGAAAACATTTAAAATCCCAGGTGTATTTTATTTCATTTGTCCGTATTAATTCAAATTCAGTTTGGATTGAATCTAAGAATTTACCTGTAACATGTACTTATAACCAAAATGAAAGAACCTGAAAGTCAACAAAGCAAAATATCAGTGAACCTTATTTGTGCAAATAAAACTCACTTAAAATCTACATAAAAAGATTTTATTTGCGATAACACCATGTGTAGTTCACTCTATTATCAAGGTTTCATTAAAATAAAACTCCTGATCTCCTAATAGTAAAGAAAGTATTGTTTGCTATAATGAATCGAACTGACAATTAGTTTGAAGAATTTTAAGACTGTGGAAGAACAACTCATCTTTATATCTTCATATTAGCTGCCCTTGAGGTTCTTAAAAGTGAATAAATAAATATCAATGACAGTTCAACTCGACTACAACAAACATTTAATTGTGTGCTTTAAGGTACACGTTGTATTTGAGGCCGAAAACGCATGACAGTGTAAACACTATAAATACGTTTAAATGTCACACACGTACTGTATCACTCTGTTATCTCTGTACACACAAACACGCGTCGCGAAATGCGGAAGTTTTTTTTTTCGTTCCATTTGGCGAGCGTTGTTAAATTCCATAACACTCTCATCAGTTCTTGCTTCTTATTTGCGTCTATTACCCCAGTTTGTCACGCGGGATGAATGAAATGTTCATGAGTTAAAGTGAAACTGCCGAACTGCAGTTAAAGTCAGGCATCCTGCTGATTTGATTCATAAGGGCACTTGTTTGTCAGACGGCTCACCGGTCAGGTATACATCCGCGCTAAAATATCAAAGTATGAAAGTCACCCAGCTCCCAACCCAACGTTGAGAATAGATTAACGGCGATATATATTTTTTTTAATCGCGCGATAAGTCTCGCGTTAACGCAGCACGTTAATGCTGATAACGGCCCACCACTAATAAAAACTTTACGAGTGTGTATTTCCCCTCATACCGAGTTACAAATGCCTCCAATTCACGCGAGTCTAACTTGTAACTTACTTAAAAACCAGCAAAGCTGTTCCACTGAAACTCGGTCACACAGCCTTAATACGTCGGTCAAACTAAAGCTAACATTTGATAACGTCAGTAAAAATATGAAATTAGTCATTAATATGCAAACAAACACAGACGGTCAGGTGTTACGAGCGTTTGAAACACGTTAACGTTAGTGTTCATTAAAGGTAACGTATATCAACCAAACTACACGGTGACACAAACTTTGAATGCTATCCCTTGTTCAATGCACTGTACAAAGAAAACATTTATATTTCTATAAAATAATTAACATACCTTTTACACTCTTACAGACAAACTGACGTTTACCGTTAATCCAGTCAGGTGCAGAGGGAGTGAGTGGGTGATTGGACGTCACGCCACTTCCCGCGCACGGCAGTTTAGAAAAATACGGACAAACAACTGTAAATGAACAGATACCATATTTACTGATGAGGAAAACGTATAAAAAGGTAAAAAATCATTAGGTAAATGCTTGTTTAAATTACATTTAACCACTCATAGCTCAGTTTGATCTTAATGAAATAAAGTCTGATCTTATTAACAATCTTAAACGTAACTCACTGCTGTACTTTCCATGGGCGCTTCATAAAAGACAAAAATCATTTTAAATAACGATAAAAAGGTAATAAAGCAGTCTTTTAACTAAAATATTGTTATATGTTTTATTAATCGTACTTACCAGGGAAAAAACAGAGGAAGAAATATGTCCCGGTGTCCATCAAACGCTGTCTGAGCTGCGATCCCCTTCCCACAATGCAATTCGAAAATGTATATAAACGGAAAAACACCCGTAATACGTGTTTACGGAAAAAATCTGTTAAAATATACAGTCATTTAACTGTTATTTTACAGATTTTTTTTACAGTGTACATACAGGAGAGAGAGCCCAGGGCTTGAGGATCTCGCTCAGGGCTCTCTCCCGGGACAGCACGCCAATCAAGCTTTATTATCAATCATTAGCTAAGTGTGAACTCTTGACAATATTAGCTACATATGATAATAACAAAGCTTTTCCCAGAGATGGGTTGCGGCTGGAAGGGCATTCGCTGCGTAAATACGTGTTGAATAAGTTGGCGGTTTATTCCGCTGTGGCGACCCCAGATTAATAAAGGGACTAAGCCGACAAGAAAATGACTGAATGAATGAATGAATGAATGACAAAGCTGCTTATTTTTTAGTATTTTATACACGAAAAACTGGAAAATTAAACTATGGACCCTTGTTTCTTGCCACAGAATTAAGAAATTATATTAAAAAAGATTCTTCTCAATTTTAAAAAAGAATGTCAAAAACATAAGCTTAAAATATGAGCTGTAAATGTAGAGTTATGAATTACTAGATATAAACGGATAAACCGATATTTCAAAACTGTGACTTTTCACATAAGTGCAACTACTTATTTTTAAACTTCCTTCCAATTCTGAATTTATAGATCAGAATTTTTTAGACAGAATTTTTTTCATATAATTTAGTTAATTACAATTGCATACCTCATAACTTTTATAACTTGCTCATAACTTATTAACTTGTGTAGAAGTTTATAACTGGTCTTTGTGAGAAGACAAGTCTGAATTGTGAGATAAAAAGTTGTAATAATTTTATTTTATGGTCTACACAATCTTACATAATACTGTTGTTAAACTGCTCCCAGCAAACAATTTTGTGTTTAATAGAGGTCCAATAGACATCTAAACATAGACAACTTGGCTAATACAAGGCTAAACTTGGGCTGTCAGTGAAAATCTAATAGACGTCTAAGAATAGCCCAAAACTAGACTAGTCGTCAAATAGACAGATTAGACAGACTTTATATGTGTAGTCATTCATTTCTGTTTAATTTGTCATTTCAATTCTGTATGTTTAATCAGAAATGTTTGAGTTCACACGGAAATTCTAAAGATTCTAGATTGCTATCCTCTCCTCTGCAATCTCTTCTAGATTGCTATCCTCTACTCTTAAGGATACATCAATATGCTTTCTATGCAGGGGAAAAGCAAAAGGTTTAAAAAGAAGATTCCGTTTGATTGTCATTTAATATCAATGTGTAAGAAAACTGACACTATGGTGATCTCACTTTTGGTATTTATCCCTGGAGAAAGCCCAAAATGACAGACATGAAGTGACTAAAACATTTCACATTTACATAGTTATTTGAAATGATGATTTCAGTAGCTTGATTCAGCATGTGTTTGTGTTGTGTTTCATGTTAATTTCAATTCCCCCTTTGCTTTCATGTTTTCAGACAGCATGCATTATTCTGTTTAAACTAGACTGGAATTTCTAGACTAGAAATGCAAACTGCCTCTCTCTTGCAGCAAAACAATTATTCACATCACTTTCAAATACGGCAATGAACACTAACTGTTAAATGCATATACAGTTAAAAAAATATACAATTCTGTGCATTTTCATAATATTGCGGTTTCATCTTATTTGATGTTAAACACCCTATCTTAAACTATTCTTTGTATTCTCCCTCTGGTGGTAACACAATCAGCAAATTAACAGTAATAGAAGGCAAAAAATAGACTTATGAAGAACAGTCTTGCAAGGAAAATACAAGCTTAAAGTGATTCATGGATTTTGAATTCATGGAGGGAGAATACAGAACTTTCTTGAATTCATGAATTGATTTGCAGTCCCCCTGTTGAAGACAGGGGAGTGAGGTGTACCCACTACTCTCCCAAGCCCAGAGCAGGATTTTAACCAGCAATTCCTGCATGAGAGGCATGCATGCTAACGAGGATGCTAAAGACTTTAGCCTTAAGTGTCAGTCACTAGTGTGCCCTTTGAGGCCAGAGAAGTGAAGTTTAAAGACTCGCTATACTCCAAACAAAGGCTGAGTGAAAAGGCTGAGTGACAGCATACCATTTTTGAACTCTCTAACACTCCCACACTGCAGTAGATGGGATTGTAAATATGGTGGCTACACTCAAAAAAATGATTCAAGCCCTTCTTAGATGTGACACAAATAAATACTGTTCCCATTATTTAAATATTTTTATTTTTAAAATATTAATTTACATTTAATTAATGTAACGTAAAATTTATTAGTCGTTTCACCTATAATCTTTATTAATCCAAATCAAATGAGTTCAATAAATTGACCCCGTTTTGCGCATGCGTGAGACCGTGCATTTTCACTGCCACCTGCATTGCGTTTCTCCGTCCACCATTTTCCACCTGTGGCTGCAGACGAGTTGAAGAGGCTCCCGACTACAAGAAGTCATTTTTTGGTGAGTATTCGTTTCTTTTTCAGCGAGTACCTCGCTATGAATGCATGTTATATTCTCGACGGTGTGCAACAAGCGTGATAAAGTTTTGCTTCGGTTTTCAGTAAAGTTGACGGCTAACGTTAGCTGGCTAGCCAGTCGCTCATCATGCAGGAGAAAATAATACTGACAGAGTTAACATTAACGTTTTTTATCATAATGTTCCGACGTTGATTTAATATTTTTTGTCTTCGGGGTGATGTTGAATCAACATTGAGGTAAAGTTGGTTAAATATTCGCACATTCAGACTTTTTCCTTGCTATAATTTCAGAAAGGTGTTATTTGCAAGCACTAAATAGTGAAATCATATTAGCAGCCAATGACTATCAAAGGACAATTTTTTTTTGTCAATTAAATAGTGCTAATGTTGTTTTCAAGTCATATTTACGTGTGATTTCCCAATATTCAAATTAGCGTAGTAGATAATATAGGGAACGTTAAATAAAGGAATGTGCAAATATAAAACCAACTTTACCTCAATTGAATTAACGTCTGACTATTTGAGTCAATGTATTTTATCTATCAATCAATTTAATGGTCTGAAGATCCTGATTCATTCTTTAAGGCATATTTGGTAAGTTTGATTGTTTCTCATGTAGTCTCTAACAGTGAAACTCTACAGTGTAACGTTAACTAGTTTTATTCCGTTATTTCTCCCATGGCACACAAATATGAAACTGAATAACTGTCAGTGTAAATAGATGCACACAGATTCACAAATGTTCTGACTTCTATAAATTTCACAAATGCACACAGATTATTTATCATTGCATATGATCTGTCTTTTCAGGCCTCTGGCACTGATGATGTGGAGAGGGGCATCTCAAGCACAGTCATGGGGATTTACATAATCCGAAGTTATGACAACGGGGAGCCACAGGATGTGGGAATTGTAATCAAAGGCATTAAAGTTCTGACCAACGTTGGCAGTGTCATCATGGGTTTTGTTGTGCTCTTTGGGCTCATTTATGCCCTTGATCTGAGATTTCCAGAAAACCTCAAGTACACCTTTGAGTTCATCCAGAAAATCATAATGAATCTGGATGGACACAAGCTCAATCCAAAGATACAGCAGCTGAAAATCAAATTGTTTTCTTAAAGTGAACACCAGATGACAAATAAATAAAGTTTCTTTACGCTTTTCGTATTTGGGATTCATTTGTCTTTTCAATCTTCTGCCATCTTTCATCTACTAAATCAACAACACTGAACCCATGGATGTTTTCCATGTGACATTTTACATTGTGGCTAAGCTACAAAAAGTAGGCATGTGGACAAGTAAAAAAAAAAAAAAAATTGGACATACAAATGCAAAATAATGTTTTTATGATAAATGTTTTCTATGTAGCCAGGGTGATGGAGTGACTTGGTGTGATAATTGATACCCCTTACAAACTAATGGTTGATGAGGTTTTAAGTTTGGATTTCCCAATGCAACTTTTTTATTTATTTATTTATTATTTTTGGGATGCCAACATCTGCACATCAAAGCTCATTCATGTACAGTATAGTGTCAACAAGTGTCTCCATTACTCTCATACCTGTCAGGTAATTACTTGACGCAACACTTGTTAAAATGGACTTGACCTAATGCTTTGTTTTTTGTTTTTTTGTTGTTGTTTTTTTCTGAATTTTTGACGTTTAGATTATTGAATTATGACTGGCCAGACCAAGTCACATGTTCAGAAATTGTTCTAGTTTTGGTGACAATGGGTCTCCTTGTTATAATCAAACTGTCTTGGTCTGTTTTCACCTTCCTATAGTCCAAATTTGGTCCCCACAGCCTTTTTTTTTAACTGTGTTTTTGTTTGAATTGACCATTTGTACTACACAGATTAAAAATGCTGTACCTCTCGAAGTCATTTTTCATATTATTGTTCTCAGGTTATGCCCTTTTAAGAAACGTCACAAAGTTTGCTGCTTCACATTTTATTAAATGTGCTCTGTTTTAGGTATAATTTTATTTATTTATTTGTGCATCATTAACATAATAGACTGGTTTTATATCTTCTGGTTTTAAGGTCTGACAGATACTAAAAACTGTCTGTTACAATTCAAATTTGTCAAGTAAAACAAGCACTAGTTTCAGCCTCTATTGTTCAACGTATTTTATATATATATATATATATATATATATATATATTGTACCTTTAATCCATGTTATAATTAAGTTGAATGTTGATCAAGCTAGCATTCAGATTTATTGGAATGTTTGCATTTTGCATAATTTGCTGGTGCCTCTACTCCCTTAATGTGTTTGATTCTTTTGGAAAACATGGGATACATTTACTTCACACCAGATGCAAGATCTGTTAAAGTGTTTCTAAAAGTTTTTTCAATAATAAAAAAAGATACAATCTGTTTGGCGTGTGTGTGTAGTAACAGGGGATCAAATGAAAAATAAATATTTCCAATTAATTTATATTTAGTTGAACGAATGTAAATCAGTTATATTAATTTAATAAATTTTTATTTGCTTGGCTATATTTGATAAAATTGAGTTGGACTAACTCAATTACTTTTCGTTATGTAAATGATCTTTTGGTTAGTGCTACGCATACTTATTGGATGGAAAACCTGCGCACAATTAAATTGAGTTAACCTAATGAGCTATTTTTTGAGTGTGTGTGTGTAGTAACGGGATCAAATGAAAAATAAATATTTCCAATTAATTAATTTATATTTAGTTGAACGAATGTAAATCAGTTATAGTAATTTAATGAATTTTTATTTGCTTGGCTATATTTGATAAAATTGAGTTGGACTAACTCAATTACTTTTCGTTATGTAAATTATCTTTCTTTTGATTTGGGCTACGAATACTTATTGGATGGAAAACCTGCACACAATTAAATTGAGTTAACCTAATGAGCTATTTTTTTGAGTGTATAGTAAGTGTCACGGTGGTGTGTAACATCTTTACACTGTATACTATTAGGCGCTGACAGACACTGAATAGAAAAGTCATCAAAACTCATAGAAAAGATGTGTCGTGATGAGGTGGGCATAACTACAGTATGGTGTGTGACCCCTTCTGTGCCTTTAAAAATCTCTCCATGAGTGATTGTACACACTGTAAAACCTAACAGTCAACTTCATCAAATGAAATGAATGTAGTTAACTCAAAGTTACTGAAAGTAAACATACTGAGAGTTTTGAACTCAATGTTGGAGGTAATGAGTTAATTAAATACCTCATTACTTTAACCTAAATGGATTAGGTTTTTGCAATCAGTTTTCTCAAATGGTTTAAGTTACCTTAACTTATTGGGTTTTACAGTGTAGGTGCGGATACTTCTGTACCTGCTACTCAACTCTCTAGTGCAGAGGTTTCCAAAGTTGGTGTCCAAAGTTGGCCCATCATAACCTATGGTTTGGCCGCGATCCTATCTGAAAAGAGAAAAATGATAGGGTGTTGTTTGGAGTGAATGCCTTTGATAGAGATCGTCATTTCCAATTTAACACAACATTTTGTTTATTTGTATAATTAAAGAGCTACAAAAAAAAAAAAAAAAAAAAAGGGAAATTAAATGCTGTAAAGCTGTAAAGGAATCAGACTTATAAAACGTAAATACTGCCACTTGACAGATAGAGGACAGTGCACAAGACATCAGTAAGCAAATCAAGGCAAATGCAGAAGCAGCTCGACTGGTGTATTCAGCATTGATCTCCATTGTGTTATAAATGGGATTGTTCATGTTTTTACTGTTATAATTCATTATAAAATGTTTGAAATTATACTGTATTATTAATATGCTTTAATTTTATTTAATTAACGAGCAGATTACTCTATTGGAAATATATTATATGTAAGGGATAAAGAACATCCAGTCAGTTGGTTGCCAGAATAAAGCCTGGCAGGCTCATTGGCAGCCCAGCGCAATCAATTAATCATTGATTAATTTACTTTGATTTATTTACTTTAAAGCAATGATTTCTACTTATTTTTTTAAATACTACCAAATAAATTAGGACATTACATATGGCAAATTTATGGTAATATGGTTTGGTATATTAAACTTCAACCCACGGCCCTTAATTAAGTTTGGTTTTTGGCCCTTTATAGAAAAAAGTTGGGGGACCCTTGCTCTAGTGTATTCATGTGGCTAATTGTTTTGGATGCTGTTCTCCTTTCTAACCCATAGTGGAATGAGAAAGAATCAGGGGGATGAAATCACTGCAAAATTTCAGAACACACTCATATTGATTGCATGATTGCCACAGACATAGCTCAAAAGTGTTTAGGAGCCAAACGAACTTCCCCAAAAGTTTGCTTTGGTGAGCGCTTTCAAACTGCACAACAAAATAACTTCTTTTGAACAAAAGACTTCATTTTGAACTGGGGACCATTGAAAATATTCCTGGCCACCCTCTCATGGAAAAAATACTATTATAATTTATAGTAAATACCATAGTGTTTCTAAAGCAAACTATTGAAAAATACTTGAATTAATTTGTTGTGACATATTAATTGGTTAATTAACTGTGGTTCTAAAGATGCTGTGGTAATACAAAAACAATAGCAATATAGAAACAAGTTACTCAATATCATTGGGTAAAATCAGTTTTTTACCAGAACAAACAAACAAATAAATGGATTTAAATGCATCACATAAAGAAAAAGAATTGGCCAGCGTGTTTATTCTATGGTCATTTGGTAAGACGTAGTCAAGTAAAAACTAGTTTGGTATTTGCAGTTCACTATTTGAGCGAATTTTTGTCAGTTAACACAAGGATGTTGAGGATCACAGCCTCAAGATTCAGTGTGCATCTTGAGGCCATAAAGAAAAGGTTTACTCAAAGCGCTTATTTTAGCTACTAAAATAATCATTTGATACTTAGATACTTTGGTTCAATTTGTGACTTTATCTATCAAGTCCGGACATGAGCCACAGTTACCTCCACCCAACCCTTGAAAAAAAAGTAACTGTAAAAGAACAGTAAAGGCACAAAAAATATACACTTCGGACATCTGCATTCTGTGATCATCTATATACTGTCCTTGTAATGGAGTTTTTTGCAGTCAGAAATGTCTGTGGACTTTTGCGCACAGTTTCTGCATGCAGCCCAGTTGTTATGTCTGTGGGTATGGTCTGCATACAACAGTGCACCTATGAGGTGAATGTTCAAAAAGAATGAGTATAAAAATCTGAGGATACCACAAAAAGTATAAAGTTTCTTTTGCTTTCTGCTTTTATGAGATTGTGGTCAATAATTTTCAAGACATGAAAAGATTACTCTGCTCCTACGAGAACTTCACAAGGAAAGCACAAAATAAAATAATAAATATTAAAGAAATAAATAATAAAGAAATAAACAAACTGTTCTTAATTATTGAAATGACCAGATTACTCTATTGGAAATATATTATATGTAAGGGGTAAAGTACATCCAGTCGGTTGTTTTGGGAGAATAAAGTTTGACAGGATTATCGGCAGCCCAACACCAATCTGAGGCCTATTAAGATTGTAGGGTTCTATTTACACAGCTATTTGCCACATAATGTAACATTAGACACAAATCATTGTTCTGAGCTATAACAGTTTATTGATTCTTTAATTAAAGGCAAAGCTGCCAGAAACTAAAAACAAAAAAAAATGGCTGAATGGAGCTGATGGAGCAAACTAACCTTATATATTAATATTATATATATTAATATTATATTATTATTAATATTATCTAGTCAGAAGACAGCACTAAACAGTCAAGAAATGATGGGTCTGAACATAGAGTGGTTCAGATGACTTGAAGTACCAGGATGAACCTATATTCTTATTATCAATCAGAATGAAGTATTCCAGAAAGCAGTTTAATAAAAGCTAAGACCCACCCCTCACTGACCCATATATTTATATATCATATTTTGACTGCTATGACATCATAAATAGTGAAAATAATCTATCATTTTTCCATCGATTAAATCCATTAATTAGAATTTATTTAAATACAACTGTTGTTATTTATAATTTTTCAAATGTACTTATTTTATGAGAGGCTAGAAAAATTGTGAAGCTGTCAAAGGATTGTGTTGTTATTAATAATGTTTTTATTATTAAAATGGCCAAATTTTGACTGAGGAAAGTTGAATGTGCTGGCCAGTTTGTCATTTATAATTTGCTTAATAAATAGGTTTGTTT